AAAAAAAAAAAAAAAAAAAAAGAACAGACAAAAACAGATCAGCGGAACAGAACAGAGAGCCCAGAAATAAGTCCACATAAATGCAGTCAACTGATTTTGACAAAGAAGGTAATATAACAGAGAAAAAATAACCTGTTCAACAGACAGTGCTGTAGCAAGTGGACATCCACATGCACACACACACGCACTTTACATTCTTTACAAAAATTAACTCAAAATGGATCACATACCTAAATGTAAAATACAAAACTTTAAAACTCCTAGAAAATAACATAGGAGAAAATCTATACAACTTTAGGTTTGGCAATGACTTTCTAGATATAACACCAAAGGCACAATCCATGAAAGAAACAACTGAATTAAAAATTCGATTGAGTTAAAAATTCAACTGGACTTCACTTGAATTAAAAATTTCTGCTCTGGGGCCAGCCCGGTGGCGCACTGGTACAGTGCGCCGCTTGGGAGCGCAGCGGCGCTCCCGCCGAGGGTTTGGATCCCACATACAGACCGGTTCCCGCTCACTGGCTGAGCGAGGGGTGGGCGCAGCACCGAGGGTTGCAATCCCGTTGCCGGTCCTGGTCCGGTACGGGCGCAACACTGAGGGTTGTGGTCCGTTGCCGGACACGAAAAAAGACAAAAAGGAAAAAAAAAAATTTCTGCTCTGCAAAAGACCCTATCAAAAGAATGAAAAGACAAACTACAGACTGGGAGAAAATATTTGCAAAAGACATATCAGATAAAGGACTATTACCCCAAATACATACAGAACTCAAACTTAACAATAACAAAACAACCCAATCAAAGAATGGGCCAAAGACCTTAACAGACACGCCACCAAAGAAAATATACAGATGGCAGCATATGAAAAGATGCTCAAAATCATATGTCATCAGAGAATGCAAATTAAAACAAGATATTGCCACACACTTATTAGAATGGCCCAAATCCAGAACACTGACACAACCAAATGCTGACAAGGATGTGGAGCAACAGGAACAAGAAATGGCAGAAATGTAAAATGTAACAGCCACTTTGGAAGACAGTTTGGCAATTTCTTACAAATCTAAACATACTCTTACCATATTATCTACCAGTTGTTTTCCTTGGTATTTACTCAAAGGAGTTGAAAACTTATGTCCACACAAAAACCTGTACACAGATGTTATAGCAGCTTTATTCATAACTGCCAAAATTTGAGAGCAACCAAAATGTCCTTCAGTAGGTGAATGAATAAAAAAGCTGTGGTACATCCAATAGATTTTTCAGTGCTAAAAAGAAATGAGCTATCAAGCCATGAAAAGACATGGAGGAAACTTAAATGCATATTAATAAGTGAAAGAAGAAAATCTGAAAAGGCTACATATTATATAATTTCAACCATATGACATTCTGGAAGAGGCAAAATTATGCAGACAGTAAAAAGATCAGTAGTTGCCAAAGGTTGGGAAGTGGGCACTAATAGAGCACAGATTTTTAGGGCAGTGAACATACTCTGTATAATACTATAATGGTGGGCCGGCCCGGTGGTGCACTGCTACAGTGCGCCACTTGGGAGCGCGGCGGCGCTCCCGTCGAGGGTTCGGATCCCACATACAGACCGGCTCCCGCTCACTGGCTGAGCGAGGTGCGGGCGCAACACCGAGGGTTGCGGTCCCGTTGCCGGTCCTGGTCCGGTACGGGCGCGACACTGAGGGTTGCGATCCGTTGCCGGACACGAAAAAAGACAAAAAGGAAAAAAAAAAAAAAACTATAATGGTAGATACATGTCATTATACGTTTGTCCAAATCTATAGAATACACACACAGAGTGAACCCTGATGTAAACTGTGGACTTTGGGTAATAATAATATGTCAGTGTAGGTCCATCAATTTGTAACAAATGTACCACTCCGGTGGGGGATATTGATAATAGAGGAGGTTATGCATGTGGGGGGTTGTGAGGGGGAAATGGGTAATCTCTTACCTTCCTCTCAATTTTGTTGTAAACTTAAAATTGCTCTAAAAAAAAGTAGTCTTAAAAAATAAAGTCTATTTTTTTAAAAAAACAAAATGCACACACACAGTTCCTAACCATAAAAAGCTAATTAGCCCTGGCCCATTTGGCTGCAGGCCACCCCTCTCTTTCAACAGCTTCCTTCTTTTCAATAACTATAGTGGGTGTAGTGCATTTAAACCTCCTTTTCCTTCAGTGCCCCAAAGATGGAACTTCAAGTCTCAGAACTTTTTTCCTGCAATACATTGTAGCCAACAAGAGGCATAAATAAGTAAGATTTTAACTCTATTTCTGATTTAACTTTGGGTTTTGGGATATACAATGCAGAGATGGCCAGGAAACTCGGATTTCTTTGGTCACTAAGTTTTTAACGGATTTACTGTGTTTGCTGCATCATGAAGCAACTGTAAAGAAAGGGCATTATAGAAAGAGAACACTCTGCTTTGAATGCTCTGGTCAGATTATGATGAGAGCAGGCATATAGGCGGGCATCCTGAGATTCAATCCATGCTCTAATCTGTCTGAAGCTCACAAAATTCTCTCTGACCATCATATAGAAATAGTAGTATGGGGCCAGCCCCGTGGCTCACTCGGGAGAGTGTGGCGCTAGTAGCGCCGAGCCCGCGGGTTCGGATCCTATATAGAAACGGCCGGGGTGCTCACCGGCTGAGCGTGGTACAGACCACACTGTGCCAGGGGTTGCGATCCCCTTACTGGTCAAAAAAAAAGAAATAGTAGTATGATTTCTTTTAATCAATTACACCAGATTCTTTGGGGCTACAATGAGTAAATTATTCTTTTCATCCCTTTCCAATTGCTTCTGCTCTTTTTAGCTAATGCTCACGAAATTACTGATTAAATAGTATTACTTATTATACAGCTATTTAGATAATAAAGAACATAGAAACCAAGGAATAGTATAGATCACTTTGTATTTATTACATGTTTAACTGAACTTTTTCAAATTACAGAATTCAACTCCAAAATAAGGTAATAAATGCCTATTGAATTGTTATTCACTTGCATATTCTCTCCTAAAACTTTAACACAGCAAAACATCTATAATGACACGTGAATAGGTTCAGTGCACTTTCAGTGGCTCACAATCATGAGACAAAGACTACATTTATCCATGAAGATATAAGACAAATAGTTCAATATTTTAAAATATTATTGACATAAAATACAATAAGGGAAAAAAATAAAATACTGCACTTATACCACAATTCTTTTGGTAGCTGATAGTAGAATATTCTTTAAAATAAGGTTCCTCTGCAGAGCACATGCTATGCTTGGTATGCTTGGCACATTAGTACTTGGTAAATGCTCAGCTTCCATCTGCAGTTTCTCTAGGAGGACGCTTACTTGGGGCCTACTATCAAACCCTGAGGAGCCTCTCACCTCCTTTACTTCACAGGTGGGAACCTGACCCTTCTTCCTCTACCTGCTCCTAAGGCTTTCCTGTCTTCCCTTATTTCCCCCCAGATTCACACTTGCTACCCTCTCCATTCTCAGCAAAAATGCCTGGCACAAAACTCACACGGAGGAGCATGCCCCCATAGCTCTGACCCAGATGTTGTCCTTCACTGACTAAATTATGGCTATAAGGTAAAAAGAAGGAATCTACCCATAAATATCATTCTCCCTACTTTATAGTCACAACTCCTACAATGCAAAAAAGGTTGGTGATGCCTGATTTAGAACTTAAAACATTCAATGAATTTAGGCAGAATACATTCTGTCCTGAAGTTCCTTAAAATCTACTCTTTTCTATTATTGTTTGTTTTTAAAATCATAAAAATATAAAAATTGTAAACATTCTACTAAACATTTCAGTAGAAACTCTGTTACCCTACTTTTATTTAGTGGGTTCAGAAAGAACAAAAGTGACATTATATTCCCTTTGGCAGACCCAAAATCATGCTACCAACCTTAAATCTACCATTACACCTCTCCCACCATTAGATAGCTCTGTATGTCAAGCATGTCGCTCGTGACAACTGCTGCTGCTACTCATGAACACACTTTAACAAAGGAACAGAAAGCCCTTTGTAATCTCTCCCTAGTAGCTCTCCATGTGCATGCTGGGCATCCTGAACCTATGGTACCACACTCGACTCAGCCTCAGTGAGCATGTAAACACATGGAAGTAAGAACACAAAAAGCTGGAACACCTCCTCTACCATACGCTGCACTCCTTTGCAAAGTGAGAGGGCACTTCCTCTCGCTTTGTCAGAGTAACAGCTGAGTCAGATAAGGGGCAGCAGATGCTGCTGACAGAGGTAGGAATAAAGAGGAAGCTGATGAGGCTACTAGATACCAGTGTCCACCACACCACCAAAGTCAGCACATTCCCTTCATCATGATACTGCTGGGAGCCTAAGGATGAATCTGATTTTCTATTCAAAAGGAGGAACCTATTATATAGGAAATTCCAGTCACTTATTGCTCTTATAGTAAGGTTTTACTGTACATTTTTAAAAGAACGAAATTAATAAGATGTTAATTCTTTTTATTGAATAACTTAAAAATTAATCAAGAGAAAACAAAACAAAACACTGCTTTTGTTTTTAGGGAGGGAAATATTCTAGACACAAATGAGTAACGAAATCTATTAGGTCAGGGGAATCCCCTTAGCATCTTGATCAGCTGTGATTGATGAGATAAACTAAAACCAGAATTCCTGACCTGGTTGATAAACAGTACCAATTAACCAAAGTATTAACTGCAATGACTTAAAACTGTATTACCTGAATAGTCTCCATGGCAAAGTGTCAGAAAAAGTGAAATAATAAAATATTTTCCACAGCACCATAAGGTTTTATAAAATACTATTTCAGTTAATGTACAATCCCAAGATTTTGGTCCATCATCCATATTAGGATTAACCTCTTCTTTTACTGGTAACAGTTCTGACAGAGGCAATATAGGCATAACTATAACATGAAAATGATATATTTTACTGAAGAACCTGTATGGCATACTTAATCACTGCCTCAGCTATATCCATTGAGTGCTAAAGGATTCAAAGGCCAGGAAAGATAGTTTTACTATTTATACTCCAATCACACTTTTTAATTTGCCATCCTCTTATATCTGCTTGCTTTGGTACTGTGGGTTCTTATGCGTTTTGTTTCTATATGATAATATTTTGTAAATGGCTCTGAGTTTTTAAAATAAGAATACGGTGATTCACTGTGAATTTTATAATAATTGCAAGTGAAAAACAGATACATTTTATAGCCAAATTATCTGGAATTATGTATAACAAGTTATCTGTAATAAAAAATATACCACATATTGGACTCCCCAATATCTAACACGTTCATGAATCTCCTACAACTGTTAGTGTGTGCTATGCCGACTTAGCGCAACACCAATCTAAGCAAAACATAATTGAAAGTGTTGTCTTGCCTACCAAGAAACATACACTGTATTCCAAAGCAAATATGGATTAGGTTTCAGATTATCAATTTCATGTCTCCCTTCCATTAACGCAGAGAACTGAGACTTGGCTTTACTACAGATTAGCTAGCACTAGAGTAAACTTGCTATAAAATTATTTATAACAAAATAAATATTTTCAGTCCATCTACACTAAGTGCTATATAAACCATTTGCTATATAAACCATTAGCAGTTTATAACATTAGCTTAGGTCACTTTTTTGGGACCCAAACATACTGTACAATCCTGAGTAAAAGGTTAGGGACACAGTTTCTTGGGGATCTTTCTTGACCAAGAATCATAAAGAAAACACATAAATCATAACTTGTAATAATCCCCACTTTCACTAGAAGTACCATGAGTTCTTTCCACTTTGGTAAATAAGTTTATCTATGTAAACCATTTATCTTGATGGAGTAAAATTAAGCAGAACTTCTGCTAGGATCCCTCCACCACCTTTTGACACTGATGAAGTAAATAGTCAGGAAGAGTAGAGCAGGAAGATCTAAACCATAAGGCTAATAAGTCAGCATGAACTCGGCAATGCAGTAAGCACGGGATGGATGGGAGCAGCTGACAGGCCAATAGCCCTTCATTGCCTAAAACAAAACAAAAATGTAAAATTATTTAATAAAAAAGTGACTTCAAAAGACATTTCTTCAAGAAGATATACAAATGGCCAATAAGCACATGAAAAGATGCTCAACATCACTAATCACTGGGGAAATGTAAATTGAAACCACAGTGAGATACTACTTAACACCCATAAAGATAGCTATTATAAAAAAAAAAAATGTTGATGAAAATGTGATAAAACTGGAACCCATGTGCATTGCTTATGGGAATGTAAAATGGTACAATTGCTGAGAAATTGATATGGTGACTTTTCAAAAAATTAAATACAGAATTACCATATGATCCAGCAATTCCACTTCTGGGTGTATAATCACAAGAACTGAAAGCAGGGACTTGAACAGATATTTGTATATCCATGTTCATAGCAACATTATTCACTATAGCCGAACAGTGGAAGTAACCCGTGTCCACTGACAGATGAATGGATAAACAAAATGTAGTACAGTCATACAGTGGAATAATATTCAGGTTTAAGAAAGAAGGAAATTCTGACACATGCTACAACATGGATCAACTTTGAAGACATTGTGCTAAGTGAAATAAGCCAGACACAAAATGGCAAATATTGTATGATTCTACTTATTTAAGGTAACTAAAGTAGTCAAATTTATAGAGACAATAAGTGGAATGGTGTTTGCCAGGGACTGGGGAGGGAGGGGAAATGGGAAGTTAGTGTTTAATGGGTACAGAGTTTCAGTTGAGGAAGGTGAAAAAGTTCTGGAGATTGATGGTGGTAACAGTTGCACAACACTGCGAATATACTTAATGCTACTGAACTGTACATTTAAAAATGGTTAAACAGTTAAATTTTATGTTATGTGTATTTTCCAATAAAAAAATTTTAATACAGTCTGAAAAACACTCATCTGAAAGATTCTCATAATAGGAACACAGTTCTAAGAAGACTGACACTTCTAAGAGTTGATTTGTGTTCTGATTGTGAGAAAACTCCTATAAACACAGGATTGCCTTTTTGTAACTCTACGAACCTATAATTTCAACAACATGAAGTCTTAGTTTCTGTTGCAGAGTCTTCAAGGCAGAAGGCAACGTGGCTTGAGATTCTGACATTTTTACATTTTGCTTCACATCATTTGCAAAGGATAACCAGAGTTTTCCAAAGTCTTCAGTTGAGATTTTTAATGGTCTGAAAATAATTTTTAAAATTAGATATATGTCCAAAAGAATGAAATGATTCTAAACAAATATACATTTCAAATGACCCATGGGAATAAAACATAATCACTGTAAATCTGGGTCTGGCAAAATTTATGTTTTTAAACTAAATATGATTAGAATACTTAGTATCATCCTCCAACCTCATGAAAATAATGAAAGAAGATATTATGAAATTGAAAATGTCTTTTCTGTAACTCACTTAGTTCTCTTTCTGACTATTAGTCATTCCAGTAACATTTTACCAAGTAATTTCATGAATTATTCAATTATAGTATAAAACTTTTCTTTTATGTATACTTTGGATTTGGGGATAATGAGATACTCTATCAAAGTCATGTAAAAGAGAATGATTACAAAGACCTAGCACCTTAAATAAATTAGATCAAGGGAAAGACTTTTTAAAAACACATTATGAAAATGGTTTATGAGACTAAAGGTCAAATAGTTAAAATTGGGTATCTCTGGGGGGTGGAATTACAGGAAACTTTTATATTCTACTTATTCATATTTTTCTATAGCATTTGAATTTTATAAGTATACATTGATTTTATAGTCAAGAAAGAAGTTCTTTGTAAAGATATAAAGATTTTATTAATACACACAGAACTGTTTATGTTATATATATAGTGTTTCTTTAGATTACTAATGCTCATCATGGGATATATCTTCACTGTCACAGAATATAAATTTTGTGAAGGCTGAATTTTATCTTACACTGCAACACAGACATAAATACTCTGACAGACTGATAGACACGTTCTTACTAAAAGACCTTAAAGAGTGGGCAAAAATTATAGTAGTGTAACACAAGTAATGTGTGGAAGTTAAAAATTTTTTAGATATTCACTGGTATTCTTCATTCTTGGTTCAGGCAGTCTTCATTTTAAAAAATGTTGAAAGACAGTACAATACATTTATAAAACTAAATGAGAGCAAAAGTGTTAAGAGATTGTTTTAATTATTTTGTTAACACTGCACAATGCCTAATATAGTGCTAAATACGTATTATATGTTTAATAAAAGTTTAATCACTATATTGATTAATTTTCTTTTCTCTAAAGCTTAACAGATTTTATGAAATAATTAAATGAATAAAATACAAATGAGAAAAACTTCAAAAGCTTAAAAAAAAAGCCATGCAGAATCTTTGAATTTATTTCATTTTAGATATTACTTTCAGAAATTTTCCCAGATTACCAACCAACCCGACCTTAAGTCGGGTCTCATAATCTCCCTCTGTACCATTTATTTTCTCTTCATAGCAAAATCATAATTACGTATATATTTATGTGACTGTTCAATGTTTCTTCCATAGACTGGAAGCTCCCTGAAGGTAGGAAATGTATCTGGTTTTTAATTGTTATATTCCCTAGCACATAGCATAGTTTCTCTGCCCAGAGAAGAAGCCTAATAAATATTTGCTGAATGAATAAATAACATTCCTGAAAATATTTACCTAATGAAATCTAACAGTGATAAGTTTATGGAAAATTCCATTTGAACAGAATGAGTATCCATCATTTGATAATTTATAAAACCAGAAAGATTCTCTTCTGTAAAAGGTTTTTCCATCTGCACACTATATTGAAAGGTTTTGGTGCCTTCTGCTTCCATTACAGGCAAACAGCATCCCAGCTGCTCAGTGATCTGTAAATAAAAGTAATAAAAGTACTGAAGAAGGGATCAATACAGACTATTATATGAATACCGATTTTCTATTTAATTGAAGTGGTACAAAAGCATAGTAGTGTGAAGTTAATAACAAACTACATTATGAAGATGATTGACTTCTTGAGAAAAATTAACTAGCACAGACAAGAAATAACAGTACACAGGTCAAAATTACATACCAAATGGCATTACAGTTAAAGCCCTTGTATGATTATTTTTTAAAAGATTATTAAACTCTAGTCTGGAAGCTCTCAACACTGGCCAGCACCAGATTTTTGAAGCTAGCAGAGTTTAAAAAAAAAAAAAAAATAGAGATGTCTTCCATTCTCATTCTCTACCCTTATTCAAGATCTGGTGGTAGTGTTCAAGCAACTGGGTTGGGTTTTTTGTTTTTTAAGTTCCACAGGTGATTTAAATGTACATCTAGATTTGGGAACTTCTTCCCCAGTCAGTGACCCAGACAATATCCCATTCAACACATTCCAGTTCATAAAAGAAAAGGGGTCGGTTTCGTGGAAGACAGATATACATTATAACTCCACCAAGGACATCCACACAAAAATGCAATTAAACATACTCCCAGAAATCAAAATGGCAGTCTCTTGGAGCTAGAAAAGAAACAGAAGTGATGTCTGAGCACTCAGTGCAGAATAATCCATCAGTGAGAGAAAAAAGAGGTAATATACACATTTACCCTTCAATATTTTTACTTGATTTGTTAAATAATTTCAGAATTTCCTGTCAGTAGTTATGACAAGAGTGAATGAGACATTTACAGAGTGCAGGAAAAGAGAACACTAAGTACACACTGAAAATAAACAATAATACTTACCAGGTGCCATGTACTGCTGTAAGCATTTTACAGGTATTAACTCATACCTTCACAGTAACAGGCACACACTGTTAACATTCTCATTTGAAACATAAGCAAACCGAGGAACAAAACAGTCAAATAACCTGACCATGTAACACAGCTAATGAGCTGTAGAAGCAAAAGTTAAAGCCAAGCAGTCTAAACCAAGAGCCTACATTTTCACTGTGCTCCATCTAAACTCACTTTGTAGCTACGACCTTCCCCAATACAATCTCTATTATGCTTCCTTCCTTGCCTCTTTCGAACAATTTTTCCCTACTCAAAATAGTAAAAAATTGGGCCAGCCCCATGGCTCACTCAGGAGAGTGCGGCGCTGGTAGCACCGAGGCCGTGGGTTCGGATCCTATATAGGTATGGCCGGTGCGGACCACACCGTGCCGAGGGTCGCGATCCCCTTACCAGTCAAAAAAAAAAGGGAAAGGGCCGGCCCGTGGCTCACTCGGGAGAGTGCGGTGCTGATAGCACCAAGGCCTCAGGTTCGGATCCCATATAGGGATGGCCGGTTCACTCACTGGCTGAGCGTGGTGCTGACAACACCAAGTCAAGGGTTAAGATCCCCTTACCGGTCATCTTTTTAAAAAAAAAAAAAAAGGAAAAAATTTGTCATACCTTTTACCTGTTTTTGCAAAGAAGGTAAAAGAAGGAGAAATTTAAAAACCATCAGAAGAGCGAACAGCAGAAACATTATTAGCGAGCACTGTCCATTTAAGGCAGAAATAACAAACTATTCATTTTCTTACCTTGAAATTTTCTGCAGGAAAAATTTCTAAGTTAGCACTTTTCAGTTCCAAACCACTCTTATTAGTGATTGACCAGACCATCAATAAACAATCATCTTTCCAAATTTTGTAAGAAAACACTGATATGGTTTCATTATTACAGACCTCCATAAGATTTGAATGTATGCATTCAGTAGTTTCCTCCAAAAAAGAAGAAGCTAAAGACATTTCCTTGGCAACTGAGACTGCAGTAGATTGAGGAGGGTGAAAAATTTCCATATCGTTATCAGCAAACAAAGAAGGTGCAGACAGGTTGCAATTTGAGAGTTTCTCAACCAAGGGTAGTTCTGTGAGAGGCTCAGAATCCAAAAGTTCCAAACTGAGAGAAAATTTCTTTAGTTCCTTGTCTCCTCTATCCTGTAAAGTATTCAAATAATAATCTTCATCATATGACACATTTGACAAAGAACTAACAGAAGAACAGGTCATACTGTGAGAATGGGCTGTTTCTCCACTTTTGGTTTCCTTGATTTTTGATTTCCTTCTGAACTTGTGAGAGACATTATCTGCTTTTCCAAGCTGCAAAAATAAAATAGTAATAACATAAAAGAAACCATTCTATTAGTCATGAGTTTTAAACATTTTCTGTAATTCCAAATGAGCAGTTTACTAACTTGCTCCAAAAAATCAGAGATGAAGAAAATGTTAAGACCTAAAATTTGGACAGCTACATAACTTTGAAATATTAGCTAAATCTTATTTCTTTTTAAAAACACATAAAATAAAAAAAGAAATAAAGTCAAAAAGTCAGTCATGAACAATTCTAAAAACTTGATAGATTTCAGAATACTAGATTACAGAATTGGACAAATTAAAAATACTGAGAAACCTAGCCATTTTTTGAGTTTCCAGAGTTGTCCTGTAGAAGACTAAGTTACCCTCAAATGCAGAGATGATCCAAACTGTTTTAATAATCTATAACAATCACGATTTCACAGCCTATGAGTTAATAAGCAGAGAAGAAAAACTGGTTTTACCTCAAGAATCAACTGGCAAAGGCTGACTGGAAAACTCAGCAGGAAAGAATTCTATAACTGACTGATGATGTATGTTTGACACAGACTCAGGAGACAGGAACAGAAAATTTGCCATCCTTGATTTAAACCTTCTGAGGAATGGTTCGTGAATCTAAGTAAGAAGAGTGATGGTTCAAGTGTTCCCTTGCCTCACAAAGTTCTATCTAGAATCAGTGCAGCAAACTGACACTATTCTAAGTCCATGTCTCTATCCTTCTGGGGGCTTCAACACTGCACAGTTACCCTTCACATGATTCTAGTTAATCAGAATTCTAGTTCCCTTTTCATAACATCTCCATTCCCCTCAAGCCCCAACACTTTCTTCCAACACTAAGCAGATAAGTTTGTCTCTGACCTCCCAATTCATAAGTGATTAAACAAGAACTAATATTCTATTAACACAAAAACAAGGGAAACTGCGGATGGGAGAGTGGGCAATGGATTTCCAATTCCAATAATCATGGGACTCAAATTAGACGTATATTAGACTGCTTGATCCTGTCCCTCAGGTCACTGATTCTCTGTTCCTTTTTTGTTTTGTTTTGTCTTTTCTTTCTCGCCGTGTTTCATTTTGGATAGTTTCTATTACTTTGTCTTCAAGTTTAATGAACTCATCTGCACTGTCAATCTGTTGTTAATCAGAAGCTACACAGGCCAAAACACACTGTAGTGACATCTTTGTTAAAATACTTAAAGAAAAGAAACAGTCAGCCTAGCACTGCAATCCAGAGAAAATGTCTTCTAAAAATGAAGATGAAATAAAAAGGTGAAGGTGAAAAAATTAAAAAGAACTTGACTCTTAACAGTGAACTATATAAAAAATTAACTCAAAATAAATAACTGACCTAAAAATAAAAGTTAGTTAAAATGAAATACATCAACCCAGCCTTGATCTATGTAACTGAGAACCTTAAACGTGAGAAAAATCAGTATGGAATAGTCTGAGGGAGAAAAGCAGCCATACAAAAGGAGGCATGATACAGAAGGAGCACATCTCTAGCTAGTCCCAATCCTGTCTGCTCTGTCCTAGCGACAGAGGAAAACTTGGGGTTGAGAGGCAAGAGGATACATGCTAATTGTATCTCATCATTAGCTGCTCCTCCTTCTGCACGATGCCACTCAGTTGAGCCAATTGGATTTTCTCTTTTTGGCTCTGGAGCTGGAAAATGATGGCAAGTGAGAGCTGTGGAAACCATTTCCCACCATGTGTACAGAGGATAGTCAGGAGGTTTTACAGAGCCAGTTTTTTGTACAAACAGGGTACACAGATTCTTAGAGGAACATAACTGATTACTTACCAAATTGATAGTGCTTTCTGATCCTAGTCCAACAAATAATGATGATGCCAGCAGCTGCTTTTCTTTCTCTTCTTTAGATTGGGTAAGCACTTGACACTGATCCTTTTTTGTTTTAGCTTGATCTACATTCTCCATTATACTCTCTTGAGGAATAGGCAGAGCTTCAGTTTCTTCACCAGTTTTGCTCTCCTTCTTGGGAAGATAGCCCTCCTTCCCCCACAATTTCTTTATACCTTCCAGCTTCAAGCTATTTGTCCTAAGGAGATTGATAATGAAATCAAGTCAATTTAAATAACTACTAAGTAGTTATTTTGGGGGGCATTTTTTCCAAAACACATCATTACCCATGGCCTTTTAGAAACAGCTTTCATATATATTTTATATGCCAGAAGTAAAACCTAGATCTCTAGATTTTACTTTAGTTACAGCCAACATTCCCCCACACCATAGTCACATGATTTAAGATACCACTACTCTAGACTTAGTTTAAAATTTCAGACCATGTAATTTTCACTCAATTGCTTAGATAAGTTGCACAAAAATAGAATTATTGTAAATTGGTTCCTTTCCCCTACTGACTTTTCAAAAATACCTTATCTTTAAAATTCTGATGGGTTAAATATCAGAAATGACTCAAGTTTCTTAGCTGTATATAAAGGGATTAAACCTATATAAATTCACTAAATAAAATCCTGTTGAAAGCAAAAAAAATCATTCAAATATACTCCTATGTATAAATTTACTTTTAATACAGAAGGTTTTCTTAATGTGAACACTAGCTACATTTTCAAATATTATAAATGTACTTCTATAAAAGTAAAATAAGGCACTGGCTGGTTAGCTTAGTTGGTTAGAGGACGGTGCTGATAAAACCAGGGTCCAGGGTTCAATAACTGTACTGGCCAGCTACCAAAAATAAAATAAAATAAAAATAAAATGAGGTTTGGTCTACAAAAGAAAGAGCATGAGGCTTAGGAATTTTTTATACCTGAGCTGAAGAAGAAATAAAGTAGTGATTAAGTGCCAGGTATCTGACCCAAAAAGCCCAGGCAAGGCATCTAGGCAAAAAGTCCAGGGCCAAATTTAGAATATGGACTCATCTAATGTTGTCCCAAAAGTTACAACTATGAATCTGAAGTGACTAATACCATCGTAAGCACAGGCTGAAACAGCCATAGATTGTCCCTATTGTTCTCCTATAAGAACATTAATTAGCTTGATTGTGGTAATAATTTTACAATGTATATGTATATCAAAACATCATGTTTTACACCTTAAATATATACAATTTATATTTGCTAATCATAGGAAGAAAATACTATCAAAAAAAAATAAAAATAGAACTATGTGTCCTTGGCACCTGGCTCATTTAAGCATCCCTTGTCATGGTCCAAAACAACATTCTAAAAATTTCTACTACAAGTTAGGAAGATCATGAAATGAATATAAAAGGAAGACTCAGAAATATCTGTATTCATTATTATTCCCACCTAATTTGTTGAAATCGTGATCAATTTGATTTTCTGTAGTAGGCCAAAAACAAAAAGCAAGTAGTTATACTTCATACTGAGTAAAGAATTAATGCTATTAAGTAGTAAGTGACTGAGGCAAATTTGAATGTTAATAAAGAATGCCCTACAAGGAACTGGTTTATTCTTCGCAATGATTTTTACTGCTGTGTGTTTCTTTACAAGTATCTTCATTTCCCTGTCTCTTTTAGGTACCAAAAGAGTTTTCTAAAAAGTTTTTAAATGAAATAAAACATTAATAAACCTCTTAGAAGAAAATTGGTTGCCCTTACCAAAAGCAGATCCAAAAGTGGTCATGGGAATCACTAAAATGACCCTTTGCATCCCTAGGATCTCAAAAGCAGGACCTCTAGGAAATTCATGAATACCCACAGTACAATTACAGTATCTTTGTACCCTCCTGAACTGACATATTTCCTTTAATTATTTACTCAAAAAAAAAAAAAAAAAGAACAAGTACCCAAGTTTCATTAACAAATGATTCAAATATTAGTTTAACAAAAAAAGGCAGGTGTGGTGGACCCTGGGCTGCTCCATCCAGATCTACCTTCAGTAAGTACGGTTGGAAGTGCTGCTGGGAGTGCTGGCAGGGACTGCCTCAGCTGCAGAGGGCTGCCTCACCTGAGATCACACACCTTCCAAGGCAGCCCACATCCAGTGATTGGTGAACAGAAGTGTAAAATCCTGGCCACCCATCTTGGCCCAACTCAGGACGACTGTGAAGGGTCATTCTACATCCAGACCTCCCCATGGGGCCAGCAGAGGCTTTTGTTGACAATGCATTGCATCTTAACTTCTTCCTAGGCCTAAACCTGCTTCTTTCCTCTTCCTTCCACAGGTGTCAATCCCAAGGGCACTCCTAAATATTCTGCATACTTAATGTCACTGCAGAATGTGCTTCTCAGGGAACCCAACCCACAACAACAGGCAAAATGAGAGGGTGCTAGAAAATGAGCCGAAAAAGAGCTTTAAGCTATTTTAAAGATGTTTCTCACTTATTTTATATGCATACATGCCTATTATCAGCATAAATTTTCTGTCATGCATTACGTATAGACAATCTAAAAAGTGGGAAAATACATTAGAGATACACAAAATATGCCTCAATGATATGAAACATACTATAAAAGAATTTTTTTAAACATGAGTCATTTTTGCCTGGATCTTGACAACACTATTATGGTTTTATGATTTTATATGGTGTGCATTTATATTATTTTTAATAAATCTGCATTCAAACACAGATGCAAATTCTGACCAAGTAACCATCAAAATATTAGGGGTGTACTTTAACTCAACCCTAGGAACTCCCATTTAAGATAGGGTGCTGTCCAGTAATAGGGTTTACAGGTAAGAAATTCTAAATTGGGCTTGGTACTATTTTATTCTCTGCTTGCCAGAGACTGTAGAAGAGCAACTGTCTCTACTCTAAAGCTGATTCGCCTTACCAATTACCACATTGGTTCCTAATCTTAAATAATGTGTGAGCTGTGGTCCTCTTTGGAAAAAAAAATTTAAATTCATCTCTCATGTTCCATTTCATGATAATGTAGCATACACAATTCCTTAGTTTTGCCAAAAGCCATTTCTCTGAATAGTCCATGTACACATACAGGATTTATAAGGCCCTGTCATGTCTCCCAGTTCAGTACTAAATAACAGATGCTGTCACCTGTTGTGCAGGTAAAAGGGACTGTGTAAGTTCCTCCCTGAGATTGGAGGGTTCCTGTCTCTCTTTCCCTTGCCTCTTTGTTCTTTCGGGACACTTAATTGCTGTCACCTCTGTCATCACATGCTCACAAACCATATCTGCACCCTATGCTTGTAGTACCAAAATTAAATGTCTGGGAAAGAAAATAAGCCTTTTAACAGAGCAGGAAAAAATTAAGAAAAAACTTTACCTTATGCCATTTCATTCAGCATATCATTCTACATTCCTCATAATCTATTTGGGTCATTTTTCTGATAAATACTTCTTATGACCATCTCATTGGAAGATTGACAAATACAAAGATGATCACAAAATAAGATGACCAACTTTTTAATGAATATACATGAACTCAAAATTCAAATGTCATCCTTCAAAGTTGTCACCTTTGAGATTTTATCACATTTACTCCAAAAACGCTGCCATTACTTAAAATATTTTTGAACTCTTTTAGATGAAGCTCCTTCATAAACAAGGTCATTTTCTTTACTGTCACGTCAGTATATTGACCAAAATTATTCATATTAATTGTTAATTGTATTTGGTAAACTCAGCTTTTGGATAGTGATGAGAATGATAGTAATGACAACTATTATTAATGATTGACAAATGTTAGCTGCTATTATTATGTACTATGTACTTTATACACACAATCTCATTTTATTAACTTAATTATGTTTCTAAAAGGAATTTAATTATATTTTCAAAGTCAAAATCTACCTTAAAAGGATAATACTTAGCACCAAATAAGATATTAAAACAAATATATCACAAATTTTCAAGGTGGCTGGAAAGAAGCCCAGGAAGCATTTTTAGTAAACAGCTTTCTCAGGTGAGTATACACATTCTTCAGGTCTATACAGCTTCCCCAGGTGATGTTAGTCACCTTACTTTATGATTATCTTTATGTTTGTCAATCTTCCAGTGAGATGGTTATAAGAAGTATTTATCAGAAGAACAAAATGATTATGAGAAATGTAGAATAATATGCTAAACACTTACCTGGGTGTATAAGTTCTAACATGCTTCTTTAAAAACATATATATGTGTATACATATATTTTTACAATAAGTAGCAATAACACACACATTATTACTATCTGTAAAGCTTATACATATCTATGCTGTCTTGGAAGGTAGGTAAGCTCTTAAAGTATAACGACATGATATACAATATCAATACCTTCAGACCAATAAACAGAAACAACTGAAACAACAGCCCATACAAAATTTAGTTTCTAGGAACCTTTCTAAGCCATTATATTAAAACACAATGCCACAAATGTGCCTCTTCCTTTGAATTATTTGAATTCCACTGAAATAATAAACTTCTTGGAAGTCATGATAAAATAAGCAAATAATGATCATGATGATATAAAGCAGAAGCAGAAAACAAATGGAATGGTAAAAAACATTTAAACACTCCCATAGTCTCAATTTTAATAGAAAGGAACTTACTCTTTCAGCCCTGTCTCAGCACTATTCCCAGATATATCTGAACCAAGAGAGATGCCAGCAGGAGACTGTCGTCCAGTGAAGCCAGATGAAGAAAAGGAGAGTCCATATGGTTCAAAATTGAGAACTAGAAATTTAAAACAATAACAGAGGTTCATATTTAAAACAAAGCAAAAACTATCAAAGATACATTCACTAGTGAAATACCTGAAGACTGGAATCCAGTCTTCAATTTTTAAACAGTGAAGAAACTTTGGGGATGATCTAATCAAATATTTATAGCAATAATAATAAAGCAGCTACCATTTATTGATTATCTACTCTAAGTCTTCATATTACTAGGTCATCAAACTATCATTCATTTTTATCTTTTTACCTCCTTTAGAAGCTAAAATGAATTCAATTAGGAAAGATAACTGATAAACCAGATCTACTGAAAAGTTGCTGCTCTCATGCAAAAATGTTTAATGAGCTATGAATGAAAAGATGAACATATTTTGTTTAACAAAATGCTCCTAGGTATACATTCTTATACCAGATGGACTGATGGAGCCCAGAGTGTGAAATCTCCCTTACTGACAAAGAACAAGGTTATCTCAGGTTCTGATTCCTTTGAATCCATATAACCTTAAATGAATTCAATCAGAGTCATGAAAATTCCTATTGTTGTGGTAGAGCAGATGCCAATATCCATTCTCCCTTTCCTTCTAAGTAATAGAACTCTCAATTCTAAGATACATGGCCACCCAGAAAAGAGATATTTCCACACTCCTTTGCCACATGACTGAGTTCTGGCCACTGACTTCTAGGAGGAGTCCTCCTGGAAGAGAAAACAATCTTTCTTCTCCCACTTCTTCTTTTCTATTGGCTAGACTGAAACATGATTGCTGGAGTGCAAGCAGCCATCTTGGATTGTGAAGTCAAACACTGAAGATGCCAGGACAGCAAGAGAAGTGGAGACTGGGTTTCTTATAATCATGAAGCTATCAACAACCCTAAGCTGACAACTTCTGGATTTCTTTATTTTTATTTTTGGGGGGTAGCTGCCTGGTACGGGGATCTGAACTCTTGATGTTAATGTTATCAGCACCATGCTCTAACCAACTGAGTTAACAGACCAGCCTGGATTTCTTTAATGTGAAAGAGCAATAACCATCTACCTTGTATGAGGCCCCACTTTATTAGTTTATTAATATGCTAATTAGCTAATCCTAATCCTAACTGGCAAATTTATCTTTATGGACTGTCTAGATTATAACAAAAAGGACCTTCTTATAAATATCTTAGAAAATATAAATGTCATCTTCTGTACTTACTATCCACATTTTACAAATGAGGAAGCTGTGGCAAAGAGTTTGCCATGAACTCACCCCAGAATAGCAAACACAGGAAATGACAATGCCAGATATGAACTCAGATACTCTAGCTCCAGAGCTGTACTTTCAATTATTACATTATACTCCTCCTCCAAAGGAAATAACACCTAATCCAAAGACTACTAAATAAATGCTTCTTGGCTAAATGAATGATACAGAACAGGAATCAATGAGCAACAAAATAAATAAATAAATAAATAATAATCAGAACAACTGAATTCTTGACATTGGTCTGGTATTAGCTAGGTATGTGAACTAGACCTTAAGTTTTTTTTGTCTGTAAAGTGAAGGGTTAGGACTACAAATGTTGATCTAATAACCAGGATCATGCTGACTTCATAGAATCTGTCAATGATCTCTTTATACATGCAGGCAAGCTTTCAAAGATTCAGATACAGAAGGTACAGAAGTAGTGCTCAAAACTCTGTCTCATTTTTTTTTAAACTCTCCGTGATTCTGATTCATAATCATATTTGGAAACCACTTGTCTAAATCTCTCTAAGGCCCTTTTCAGCTAGAACATCCTCTCATTCCAAGTTTTTCAATCATCTAGCTTAATCTAGCCACTACTGGCCTCTTTTTAATAGCATATATAGCAGTCAAACATCCAGCCTCTGAATTAACACTTCCGGTAACAATGAAAAGCTCAAGAAATTCTTCCTATGCACAATTAAAGACAAAGAGTTTAATCCAAAGAGCAGAAAGAAGTTCAAAATTAGAGGTATAGAGTTAGAGAGAAGAGAGAGAGAGAAAAAAACCCAAAAAAACAAAAACTAGACATAGAAGGGAACAGTATCTGAAGAACAGACAGATAAAATTTCAATTCTGAGACAGAAGAATTAAAGATTGTCATCAAAGGAAGGCCTGGAAAGGCTCAAAGGTAAGAACGAAGTTCAAACCATACTATTTTCATTCTCTAGTGAAAACTCCCCCAGATCCACACAGTGATGAATAAAAGGCCAAAGAATTTAAAGAGTTGACTAGAAGTACAAGAGCTCATGTGCATGTGAGGAGCACAAGAAAAACGACAGGCAGAAAGAGCCAGGAGCACCAAGGTAAAGGGATCAGATCCCTTTAAGGCCAGCTGTCAAAAAAGAGACAGACAGGAAGGAAGAAAGGAAGGTTAGGAGGGAAGGAGGGAGGGGAAAGAAAAGGAAAGAAAGAAAGAAAAAGAAGGAGCCAGATAGGTGAATTGCAACTTACTGAATATATAGAAGTTAACCAGGTGAAGAAAGAGAGCAAAGGGAAATTCATGCAGAAGAGAAAGCATGAGCTGTAGGCACAGAGACCTTGGAGTTTAAAGCTACTAAAGTAGCCCAGGTGAAAGATCATAAAGTACAAACTATCCTAAGCGTAAGTGAGTAATTCAATATTTAACCTATTTGTCAGAGGTCTGCATTATATGGACTTACCTTTATGTTACCTTGTGCTGCAATTCTTTTATACCTTGACCATTTGGCTATACTTCCCTGAGAACCCTCAAGCTATTATTTATTATTAATTATTATTTAATTTTAATTATTTTAATAATTAAATATATAAGTATTGTTATTTAAATTTTTTCCTAAGTAACAAACTTTGTTTTTATAGCAGTTCTAGGTTTTTATAGAGAAATGGAGCAGAAAGTACAGACAGTTCCTATACCCTGCCCTCACACACAGTTTCTCCTATTATCAACATGTTACATTAGTGTGGTACATTTGTTACAATTATGAACCAATATTGATCTATTATTATTATTAACTCAATTTTACATTAGGATCCCCTTTTGTGTTGTACAGTTCTCTGGGCTGAGAGACTATCAACCTCAACTTGACATGGTTTTGTAAAAGTCATAGTTCAATAGACAAGAGATTAAACTGCTGTTTCCCCTTACTATTTCCAGTGTTACCCAACACTGGGGCTACAATATACTTGAATAATGTTTTAATAGAATAATCCACAGATTCCTAAATGCTTTCTTTGGGTGGGAACTGGTAATAAAATTTGTTCCCCACCACCCCATTTATTTTTGCCAATTCTTAGTATCTTACAATATCTTTCTGAAGTTTATTCTTATAAACTGGACATTTTTCTTCCCAATGGAGCTGAGTATCACTTATTAAAGTGACATTTAACTACTACTCTCTACAAATGATTTATAAAAATCTCTAATGAGATTAGTACCAGTACTGATCGATACTTGAAGGATTCCAGAATTAACAATTCTTTATGCAGAAAATACCTATTTCCCTGTTACTCTTTATTTTGTCTTACAGCCAGTCCCAATTCTAAAATATGTAATTCTATAACTTATTCCATAAGTATTTATTAAGCACTTGCCATGTCCTGTCTCATAGCCAATTTCCTTTTCTATAATAATCTAAGCTCAAGAAATTTCAATTTTGCTTTAAAGAACTTTTGAAAAATATGTTTGGGAGGAGAGAGGAAGAGCCTATTTAAGAGCTTAACCCCATTTATGATGATGGTTCTATGGGGAAAAAAATGCACTTGGCAAAGGACTGCATCAGCTTGGGGAATTCCAGAGCTATCTATCTATTATATTTGTGTCAGCAATTAACTTATTTTAAGAAAGAAAATAGCCAATGCCAGGAATTAGGCTCATCATCTTACCTCCCCTTCCCTACTTGACTCCTAACTTTAGTAATGGCAACTGATGGCTCCCAGACATTTTCACTCCATGCCCTGGATGTCATATGACCTTTATAAGCAATATAGTCACAGGTTGGGCAATTATAATTGAAAACTTTACTTTTTTCTCCCATCATATTCTACCAATATATAAGGAGTTAATGGGGAAGAAATTGATTACCCTTTGAAAGACAATTGAATTTTCTAGGCCATTAGGTATCACTGTGCTAAATAAATATATCAAAAGCCTTAAAAGACAGGGATTGCATTGAATCTACAGATTGTTTTGGGCAGCATGAACATTTTAATGGTATTAGTCCTACAATCCATGAACATGGGACGTCTTTTCATTTATTTGTGTCTTTTTTGATTTCTTTCATCAATGTTTTATAGTTCTCAGTGTTCAACTCTTTCACCTTCTTAAATTTATTCCTATGTATTTTATTCTTTTCAGTGCCATTATAAATGAGGCTGTTTTCCTAATTTCCTTTTCAAATAATTTATTGTTAGTGTATAGAAATGCAACTGAGTTTTGAATGTTGATTTTGCATACTGCAACTTTACTGAATTCACTTAGTAGTTCTAAGAGGTTTTTTATTTTATTTATTTATTTATTTTTCCTTTTTTTGTCTTTTTTCGTGTCCGGCAACGGATCGCAACCCTCAGTGTCGCCCCCGTACCGGACCGGGACCGGCAACGGGATCGCAACCCGCAGTGTTGCACCCGCACCTCGCTCAGCCAGTGAGCGGGAACCGGTCTGTATGTGGGATCGGAACCCTCGGCGGGAGCGCCGTCGCGCTCCCAAGCGGCACACTGTAGCAGTGCGCCACCGGGCCAGCCCTCTAAGAGGTTTTTTAAATGGAACTTTTAGTATTTTCATTATATAAGATGATATTGTCTGCAAGGACAGACAATTTTACTTCTTCCTTTCCAATTTGAATGCCTTTCTTTCTTTTTCTCGCCTAAATGCTCTGGCTAGAACTCTCAGTACTATATTGATTACAAATGGGAAGAATGGGCATCTTTGCCTTGTTCCTGATCGTGAGAGAAAAAGTTTTCAGTTTTTCACCATATAATGTTATGACGTTAACTGAGGACTTTTCATATATGGCTTTTATTATATTGAGGTATTTCTCCTATTCCTAGTTTGTTGAGAGTTTTTGTCATGAAAGGGTGCTGAATTTTGTCAAATGCTTTTTCTGTATGTATTGAGACAATCGTGTGATTTTTATTCTTTATTCTGTTAATGTGGTATATCACATTAATCAATTTACATGTGCTGAACTATCCTTGCATTCCAGGGATAAATCTCAGTTACAGTGTATGATCCTTTTTTTTTTTTCCTTTTTTGTCTTTTTTCGTGACCGGCAACGGATTGCAACCCTCAGTGTCGCGCCCGCACCGGACCGGGACCGGCAACGGGACCGCAACCCTCGGTGCCACGCCCGCCCCTCGCTCAGCCAGTGAGCGGGAACCGGTCTGTATGTGGGATCCGAACCCTCGGCGAGAGCGCCGCCACAC